AATAAATAGAGTCAATAAAGAGTAGTTTATGAGCAGTAGTGGGCAAATGAGAATTCCGACATATTGATCCACTGCTGCAAAGTACCCCGTATGGCAGCTATGCCGGACAGGGGGATAAAAAAAAAGAAGAATAAAATAAAGACAGAGGTGGAGAAGGCTAATAAAGACAGAAAAAGATCTTCAATGTCTGTAAAGCCAACCTAAAAAATATATATATAATTGAGATAAGGGGGAAGTTAATAACTATCCAAGCCTCATGCTATAAGCACTTCCTGAATGGAAGATCTCCACAGAAAGAAGGGAAAAAGGAAAGAGGAGGAATAACTATCAATTAAATACTTTAATACTTTTATTAATTCAAAACATATATGATTATTTTATTTTCCAACATTCCTACTCTTCAGTCTTTCTCCAGTCTATTTGGTGAAGTAAGGTCAATCTTCTTCAGTTCTTCTTTATGTCAGATTCCCTTGCATTGCTTCAAAGTCGGGGCAAGGAGTGCTCAGCAGTTTTCAGAACGCCATAGCTCTACGATGTGATGATGAGGATTTTTCTCCCACTGTTATAAAGCTTGATCTGAGAGTCTCTATCCTCTTAGGATTGCTAAGTCATGAAGTCCAGGAGCACTCATTGATAAAAAAAAATCATTGAATTAGTAATATTTTTTTATTTTAATAATAGTTAATTCCAATTGATTTATTCCGTTCAATTACCCTAGATTAAGTGGCCGCAAAGTTAGAAAGAAGGTAAGTATTGGTAAAAACGGTAGGTAGGTATTGGTTAAAAAACAAATGATGTAGTAATAGTTAATTGAATTCCGTCAAATACTTTTTCTTACATTTGTACATTGTTTTAACATGATTTTCTTAATACTTCTAAATTTCTAAAAAAGCATGTCGATTTGGTTTTAATTTGGATGGAAGTTAAAGATTGGTAAAAAGATGATCAAGTATGTTTCGATTTCATCAAATACTATACTCATTTTTGATAAAATCCTTCCGCTTACGCATCAGCAAATCTATTATTGCTTCCTTACTATCGAAGGTAGGGGGAAGCATTGTATTCGTGCGAGAAGTTATAAACAATTTTGTGCTCAGAATCGAAAATTTCCACTCGCGTTTTACGTTTCAGAAATCAAGGTTCAAATTTGGTTCGGTGTCTGTCTGTTCGTCTGTCTGTCTGTCTGCCTGTCTGTAGTCAAATCGATGTAACGAGCATATCACCTACTACTGTTCATCCAATTTTCATGAAATTTTCAGGAATTGTGCGGGTTGGTGTCTAGATGGTCCCATGTCAATTAAATTCTAACCAGCAATTCGGCTTACGCACATGCAAACACATTTTTGTAGATATGCCAATATTTCAAAAACATCCAGTTCGATTTGGCTCAAAGTTGAATTGAAGGTAGGTATTTGTGAAAAAATAATGTAGCGTTAATTTGATTTAATTCTGTCCATTGCTTTCTGTTATATATGCTCAAACGTTTTTTCCTTGATATGTATATATCTCTGAAACAGCAACTTCGATTTGGCTCAAATTCGGAGGGAATTTAGGGACTGGTAAACGTAAAATGAAATAGGCATCAATATTATAAAATTCTATTTAATATTCCAAATAAAAATATTTCCACTTTTAGATTAAGAAATCTGTTATTTGATATGCCTATAGTTTAAAAACGGTGCATTCTATATGACCCAAACTTGGAGGAAATTTGGTGAACAGTGTAGAAATTACTTAGTTTCAATTTCATTTAATAATTAAAATTAATATACATAATTGTTAACAAGATAATGGCTGCGAAACGTTGAAGGCACTGATCATATGTACTGGGAGTTAAGTTATTGAAATATTGTTATGATGTTATAAAATTTTAGGTTTTATTAAAAAAGTTAATTTATACTGTATTGTTTGGTGGATTCCAAACGTTACTGGCATGACACTTACTACCGTCACTTAGATTTAGTGTAATTTTCCAATAATTTAAATTAATTGTTACTCTGAGTTCATAAAAAAAAGATTTATTTGTGATTTATTAGTAGTGTTTATTTATATTAAAGTTCAATCAGCTCGTCGTGGTCTCGGTTTTCTGCTTGAATATCAAAATTGTGTCCACTTCACTTATATTTTTAAATTCCAGCTAAAATTAGTTTTATTCTGACTGAAGAAAAGTATAGGTCTCGTTTACTCGGAGCAAACCAAAAGTTAAATTTTTCTAATGGATTTTTTGTTCCATCCATTTTACAAGTGAAAACATAAAATTATACTCATAAATTATAAAGTAATAATTACGTTTTATGTTCTACTGTAAAACATTCAGTTTTTACATACGTCATTTGCACTAACAGTAGCGAGATATATATTCAGTATGCACTGGATCTTTTTATTTTTTTATTACGAATTAACAAATATGCAATCTGCAAATGCGGAACTTTTTCGCATTTTAGTATTTGCAGATAAACAAAACTCGTGGATATCAAGCTCATATATATTTAGGGACTACTGAATTTTCGAAAATGGCTTCTTACAGAGATTTTATTTTCATCAGAAAATTTTTAGACTTTTTAATATAGATATTTTTTAGAAAATGAAAACGGTGAGGAAGATATACTGACCTTACTTGGCAGACGTTTTTTATTAGATGACTTTGATTTGAAATCGGCCAAGGAGCTATCAATAGGTAAATCAAAGTTAAGCAACGTCGAGCGTGGTTAGTACTTAGATGGGTGACCGTCCACCAAGGGAAGCCATACTGCCCGAGATTCCTCCCCTTCCCTCCCACGAGTATGTGAAGACCTTCAACCTGCTGGAGGCAATTCACACCGACCGGGCGTAGGACTGATGATACTACCCCGTGTACTTAAATCGGGAATCGAGGTGGTGGTTCACCAGGATGTTAGTAGCCCCCCTGAGGTTTGGTCCATAGACGGCCTGTTTCAGGGAAAGAAATATAGGTCTTCCTGTGCTTGCTGACTCTGAGTAGCCATAATCCATGGATCTAGACCTATCTGTCACTGTCCTTGAACCCGAGTGAGGCGGTGGTAAGGACACTGTCAGATTGGTCCCAAAGGTGTCGGCTAGGTCAGAAGTTATACGTATGATATATCATTGGAAAGCGGTGAATTTTAGAAAAAAACAGTATCTAATATAGAAAGTTGTAGAAGTTAATGGAGAGTGGCGAAAAAATTATAAATAATACATTTTTGAAAACAAATATTATTTAACGTTAATCATATGTTTTCAAGGCAATTAAATGAAATTTACTACCTAAATTTAAACTTTTAAAATATTTTTAAATTTGAAAAAGGTATTTAAAATCCATCTAATCAAGGCAATATCATTGTTAAAAAAATTATTACATTGTATTTGTGTCAAAGACGAAGTGAAATATCAAATCATTTCATGGATGTACAAAGCATATGTTTATAACCTTAAATACATTTACTGTAGTTTAATAATTCTGGATCTGATATTATATTATATTTAAATAATAAGGTAACAACGTCCGTATATTCCGAAAAATCTTCATGTAACTTAAAAAAAAAATTAGTAAATAATTTTCCTTTTGTGAAATCCCAACATTATCATCTATTCCTCTAAAGTACCTTTAATTTGGTTTATTATAAATAATAACTATTTCTCATTGTTAGGAGTTATGAAAAAATGCTAAATATAAGTTTTGAAAGAATTTGATAATTGAATATGGGAGAAAATAAGAAAAATACATATCCAGACCGAAAATGAATATTCGGAAATAATAGTCAGAACATATCTTTGGAAAGTGGAGAATTAAAAAAAAAAAAACCCAAAAAACAATATCTAATATTTATGTAACTTTTTAGAAAATATAATTAGTGAATAATTTGATGAATTTTTCCTTTGTGATATTCCTACAGTATCCACTTCCAATTAGTCTGGCAACTTTTTACATGTCTACGACAGACAATGCAAATCTCTTAACTCCATTTTAACAAACTTTGCAACGGAACATAACAGTTGATAGTCGTACAATCTATAATCAACGAATCGTACAACCCATAAACAATCGGTGATATAATAAATAGCATTTTTATTATTTTAATAGTATTTATGATTTGTTAGCTGTAAACATTTAGCTTTAGCTCGTTTAAAAATTTTATAACAGCCCAACATCGCCAGAAAATAATTTCTATTCAATATTGAGCGGTAAGTGAAAGTTGTGTGTTGCGCGCACCAGATTTTTTTCTTTTAACGTTTTAACGAGTAAATTTGTATAAAATCTTGTGAAATATATATAAATGTATAATATATCAGTATTTCAACTTAGTATTATCTTTACTGTCAGGGAGCCTTCTCTAGTACACTTCAAAGTATTTTTTGGAATATAATTTCTGTTCCTCTTACATTATTAGTAAGATATTAAGACACATGTTTTTTGTGACTTAAACAGCCTGTTTGAATTACTGAATATTTTGGCAGTAAAAATCATAGGCACCGTCACAGGAGTGGATAGGCAGAGAGAACATGACACATAATGGGGTATTATGTGTCATGTTCTCAATGTTTCACAATATTTTACGAAAGGGAGGCTTACTATACGTTTCACTTACTATATCGTTTCACTGCTTTTTCAATCTAGTTCAATAACTCATACAAGTTTTAATTATACTATATCAGAGATAGTAAACTGGTGACTTTGAGGAACTACTCTTGAACATCGTTCTAGCCTTCAAGCTCCCGATATTTCTTACGCGCCTGTACTGATAGTCGCATTGTGAACAAGCAGTAAATAATATCGATAAGCTGAGAGCTACATTTTAGGTATCCGAGCATTAAGGAAAACGCAACTAAAGACCGACTGGTATGAACCTACCACTTCAAACTCGATGCGGCACGGGTTATCGACATTTGATTAGAACGAGAAAGGTTTGTATTCTTGTCTTATTTCAAAATAGAAAAACAATAACGGATTCCAAATTAATTAGGGTTACCCTAGTGGTAATATACAACTGAAGGCAGTAGTTTCAAACATCACACATATCCATCTGAAATAATTCTAAATATTCACCGTCATATTGAGGGTTGTATGGCGGGTATCCTTTGTCAAATTGCGTTGTACTAAACTGCCCAGTCAATGGAGGTTGTCTTGGACCAAACTGTCCATCTAATGAAGGTTTTATAGGACTAAACTGACCATCGAATGAAGTTTGTCTTAGATCAAACTGGCCATCTGAAGAAGGTTGTCTTAGATCAAACTGGCCATCTGAAGAAGGTTGTCTTAGACCAAACTGTCCATCCAATGAAGGTTGAGTAGGACTAAACTGGCCATCCAATGAAGATTGTCCAAATAATGGCGGTTGCCCTTGACCAACCTGCCCATTTAATGAAGGTTGTTTAAGAAATGGAGGTTGTCTCTGTCCAAACTGTCCATCTTGTGGAGGTTGTCTTAGACCAAATGGTCCATCCATTGAAGATTGTGTAGGACCAAATTGGCCATCCAGCGAAGTTTGTCTTAGATCAAACTGGCCATCTAGTGGAGGTTGTCTAGGACTAAGCTGTCCATCCAATGAAGATTGTCCATATACTGGAGGCTGCCTCTGACCAAACCGTCCATCTAATGGAGGTTGTCTCAGACCAAACTGGCCATCCAATGGAGTTTGTCTAGAACCAAGCTGGCCATCCAATGAAGATTGCCCAAATAATGGTGGTTGCCTTTGACCAACCTGCCCATCTAATGAAGGTTGTCTTAGACCAAACTGTCCAACTAATGAAGATTGTGTAGGACCAAATTGGCCATCCAGCGAAGTTTGTCTTAGATCAAACTGGCCATCTAGTGGAGGTTGTCTAGGACTAAGCTGTCCATCCAATGAAGATTGTCCATATACTGGAGGCTGCCTCTGACCAAACCGTCCATCTAATGGAGGTTGTCTCAGACCAAACTGGCCATCCAATGGAGTTTGTCTAGAACCAAGCTGGCCATCCAATGAAGATTGCCCATATAATGGTGGTTGCCTTTGACCAACCTGCCCATCTAATGAAGGTTGTCTTAGACCAAACTGTCCAACTAATGAAGGTTGTGTAGGACCAAACTGGCCATCAAATGGAGGTTGTCTAGGACCAAGCTGTCCATCCAATGAAGATTGTCCATATAATGGCTGTTGTCTTTGCCCAACCTGCCCATCTAATGAAGGTTGTCTAAGAAATGGAGGTTCCCTCTGACCAAACTGTCCATCTAATGGAGATTGCCTTAGAACAAACCTACCATCCAATGAAGGTTGTCTAGGACCAAACTGTCCATTCAATGAAGGTTGTCCATATACTGGAGGTTGCTTTATACCAAACTGGCCATCTAATGAAGGTTGTCTAGTACCAAACTGGCCATCTAAAGAAGGTTGGCTAGTACCAAACTGTACATCTAATGAAGTTTGTCTAGGACCGAATTGTCCATCTAATGGAGGTTGCGCTAGACCAAACTGTCCATCTAATGAGGGTTGTCTTAGAGCAAATTGGCCATCCAGTGAAGGTTGTCTTAGACCAACTTGGCTATTTAATGAAGGTTGTCTTAAACCAAACTGTCCATTCAAAGACGGTTGACTCACATCGGATTCCCTATTCAATGAAGATTGTTTTAAACCAAACCGCCCATTCGATACAGGCTTTCTTGCACTAAATGTTTTTCTTTCTCCCATTTTTTCCCGTAAAATAGATAGTTTTGTGCCTAACTGCTCTGTCGAAGAAGGTATTCTCACTCCTGTCTGTCCGTTAGATTCTACAACTTCATCTTTTGTCAATCTGTACCCCTGATCTCCAGATGTGAACTCCTCGATATGCCTAATAGTACCCTCTGGATTAAGCCAAGAATATCTGCCACGTACCGTCCAAACATTGTCGACGAAGGACCCATCTTCTTCACGATCTTGGTTGTTTAAAGTTTGCCTATTAGAAAATTGATTACAGGTAATTTATTGATTATGATTTAACGTTTAAATGAATTATTTTGTATGTATGTATATTTATGTTTTGTAAAGTAACTAAATAATTAATTAAGCTTACCTTAAACTATAACCTTTGGGGAAGTAAGTTACATTTTGCACTCCATTTTCTGGATAATAATTGGTGTAATGTGCGGAATAGGTCTGACTGGAACATCTTGCCACTTCAATTGTTATGATAGTAATCAGAACCTAAAGTGCAAACGAGTGGGATTTTAGAGTTTATAATTGAATATCTAAAAATATTTGGGTGTAGCCTTTGTAATTAAACTTTTATAGGTATATTTAACTTAATTGTATAGCATTTTGAAGATTTTAGAGTTTTACCATCCATTATCTATGAAAACGTCAGGCATCAGCTTAAATTAGCAAGAGAAAGAGTTTGTTAAAGCAAAGACTTTACCTTTCTTTAATATTCGTATCCCTTTCTGATCGCACCTTTCGAGTTCGCTGCGGTACAGAATTTTCCAATTACTACCCAGTTAAAACCGATGTTCCCCAAGTTAGCGTCTTGGGACCCGTGCATTACATTCTTTTTACCGCTGATATCCCTGTCCATCCTTTTTGGCAACATTTGCTGATGACACGATCCTATATCATCCAACTCAGATCCCGAAATAGAATCTTTTAATCTGCAAAGATATCTCTCCCTGATTGAGCACTGGTGTAATAAATGGTATATTAAAGTAAATGAATCCAAATGCCAACACATTACCTTCACAATCCGATGCAGTTCATGTCCACCAGTAAACTTTAATTCAATCCAGCTTCCTTTCTCAGACACAGTCCGGTATCTTGGCTTTCTTTTAGACCGTAGACGTACATGGAATCCACATACTAGATTCAAAAGACAAGAACACAACAGAAGATATGGCCTACTATAAAGATTACTGAACAGAAAATCTAAACTTTCAATAGAAAACAAATTACTTATCTACAAGACAATCCTGAAACCTATCTGGACATACTTTTCTAACATCAAACGAATCCAGTCCTTCGATTCCAAAGTCCTTCGAACAATAGTCGATGCTCCTTGCTATGTAACCAACAAAACTCTACACTATGATCTTAATATCCTATTTGTTCTAGATCTGATCCCAGCAAAATTCTCCAAATTTCACCAGAACCTTATCTGTCATCCGAATCCCTTTGCACAATTCCTATACAGCACCAACAAGAAGGTTAAAACGGAAGTGGCCACGCGACATTTTATAGTTTGTAAGTATTGGACTTCTGGCAATGGCCAGATTCTCCACCACATAAGTGTATGTTGCTAAAGCACTCTTGTTCAATCTTCACTGGGTTTAGCCCCTGTGACGCGGTTGAGAGAGAAGTACAGGGATTTCCTGGAGTGATGCTTTCCTGTCCACAGTTGGAGGGACAATCTGGTTTGGCGTTCTATCGCCTGATTGTAAATAGTTTATATAGGTGTGTATGTGTTCTTTTTTATTTATTTATTTTTAGTTTATTTTATTCTTATTTATTATCCAATATACTTATTTACGTATCCAATATAGCCATAGGGCGTAAATGGAGAACTTTTTTATCATTAGAGGCCGCAGTAAGGTTAGGCAGTGCTAAAGAAGGCCGCAGTTCCCCACCTGTGGCCTCGAGTAATTTTATGAGAAATTTATTCTAATTAAGGATTGGGATAAAAATAATATAAGCATAAGGTCATTAGTACCGGCGCTTTAGAAATATTGGGGAGAGCAAAGGTCAGAACAGCATACATAAGGCCGCCCAGTCATCACTTTATTACTTGTAATATGATATATCTATTTCGTTTATGGCTCATAGAGCTCTTTTGGCAGTCATTTAATAAGTAAATGTGAAATATTGGAAAGCCAGTGAAAATCTGACCGCACTTATAAAATATCGGGAATAGGAGGGGATGGAGGGAGAGGCAGAAGCTAATTGCCTCTGTATAACGTATACATTTAAAACTCATGAAATGAAATTTCAAAACAGAAATAATTTTATCAAAAAAAAAATCTGTTTTCAAAATTACTACTAACTAAACATGTATTAAATAAAATCGATTTTTCTACAAAATCGTAACTAACAATATATTATTAAAAAATCTATTGCGATTCATCAAAAACTTTCAAAAGAAATTGAGTTTTTACTTTCACTTATTATGTATGAAATATATACGAAGGACATGTATTGTGATCTTGAAAAAATCGAATTCGAGTTTTCAACAGAAATACGTGTTTTGAGGTCCTATGATCAAACGAGTCTCACAAAATATTCTGTGCGTATGTCTCTGAGTATTTGTATATTTTAACAGTTTAGCTAAAAAACGAAAATCGTACAAAATTGAAATTGTGTATTTAATGTTCGTGCCTGGGATGTTACAACGTTTTTTCGTCAAAATCGGCTTACCGGAACTGTATCTTTATATAATCAATCTTATACATTTTTACTACTTTTTTCAAAAATTCCTCTAAGGATTTTGATTAAACTCGTTTTATTAATTTATAATTAAGTGGTTTTCGATATCAGATAGGTCTTATTCCCATTGATGTCGCCTAAAAGACCTCGAATGACCAAATGTCTTTCTTTAATATAACTTTGATTTGGTTTATTTCAATCTATCAATTTATATTTCATTGTTAGTAGTAATGAAAAAATGCTCAATTTAAACAATGAAAGAATTTGATAGTAGGAAAGAGGAGAAAAAAGAAAAATATGTTTTGTAGGTTTAAAATGAATTTCTGGGAATATTATTCAGAATGGATATGTATAATATATCCTTGGAAAGCTGAGAATTTTAGAGAAAAAAAATCTAACTAACAAATTGGTATATCATAATGCAGTGTGCCTAAAATATAGATAATAATTTCTTAAAATTGTTATTAAATAACAGGTACCAAATGTTTCCGTGGGAACAAAATGAAATTCCCTTACTAAAACCAGCTTTATAGCGTATAAAAATTGGTGGGGTTATAGAGGCTTCAAAGATCAATTGCGATTAAGATATGTATGTGCTTTCATACACTTTTATTTGAGGCCAGAATACTATTGGCAGGGCTATGTCCAATCTAAATGAAAATTGAAGAACGGGCTGTCACATTCATTTAACAGTAGAAAAGAAAATATAGAATGCCAAATATAGAGTTGGACAAAATAGAAAGAATAACTGACTGTAAATCTTGGCTACAATCTGCAACAAGTTTATGGACTGGATCAAAAATTAAATACTGATGTTTTTACTGACTTTATTTTTACAAACAATAATTTTTTAATATTCTTCTTCTTAAATAGGTTGAATTGTGCACGCGAAATCACTAGAGGATCCAAGATTTAATTTGGGGCTCTGGACTTCAGCCAAAAGATACTAACTACGTATATGAAATTGTATCTAAGTGATTCTTGAAATCCTATTAAATGTAGTTACGCAAGCAATAATATTTTAATATTTATTTCCATAAATTTGGTTATATTTTATTATTTTGGGGGAGCCTTCATTCCGAAAGCCATCCCCGTAGATCCGCCTGTGTAGAACCTATATATATATAGATAGGGTGTCCCGTAAGTATAGGTAAATATTTATGAGGTCTACAATATTAGACATCAAGATCTACAAAAAAGTTCATGTAAACAAATGTCCAAAGGCAAATGTAAGATTTATGTTCTTTTTATGTGAGTCACGTTTTTTGTTGAATAGGAAACGATAACTAAAAAAAATGTTTGATTTAAGTAATTAAAAATAGCTTCATAGTAAAATAGACAAAATTTACTTCTACGGAAAGGACAGTTAGTCATTGTCAAAATCATCCAAAGAGAACTATTGAGCGGACAAACCCAGCCAAGTTCTATTTAAAAAAAAAATCATAATAATTTGTGATTTTTTTATCTCCCTTCAACTGTACTATAGTTACCCAACTTTACGAAAAAAAAAGGCTTCCTCGTTTAATAAGCCTTAAGTCCATATTAATTAAGTTGAGGTTTATCAGGAAAATTTTAAGATTTATCTCAAGTCTTGAAAAGAAAATATATGATTTTCTATCCAGTCACCTAAAAGAATCCGTGTTTTCAACAAAAACGATTCAAATCAACAGTTGCAAAGCTTTCATTTCTTTTTTTCCGTGATATGTGATGTACTGTAATAACCACAATTGCCTCAAAACATATTATATTTATAAAAATAAAAATAATTATTTTTCAAATATTTTTCATGTAGGTTTTTATGAAATTGTGTTTTTCTCCCAGATTCCTGTGATAGGAATTGATGCGTATTTATATGTGACATACTTAATGTTTCTAGCCCTAATATTTACGTTTTCATAAAAACAATTGAAGCAATCGATTTTTTTCTTTTAAATATTAATTTTAGTAGGAAACATTAAGTTTTTCACTGATAAATAAAAAGTACTTGTTTACCTGATTAAACACCTTGGTAGATTTTTAGAGAAATCGAAGTATAGAAATATTTGAACTTAGTATTAGTATAGTCCGTTCCTCTCCCGAATTAAACACAAGACTCTTCTGTTAGTTGATGGGCACCGGTACATGGAACGAAATCTACTAGCCAGTGTAGTGGAATATATATACCCAACTACTACACTAAGTTTAAATATTAGTAGACGTCTATTTCCCTAACAATTTATCAAGGTATTTAAGTAAGTATACAACTTAATTCTTATAGAATAGATAGGGTTATTTTTTAGTTGATTTTTAAAAATTAATTTCATTTTACGTTGTTTTTTTTTAAGTCAAAACTTCTTTAAGAGCGTTTTGTACTTTTTCGTGGAGAGTGAATTAGATTGACCCGTCAGATTTCCGAATCGTTAACGCACGGATAAAGTTATCTATAGTCGACTAATTAAAATGTTTTTAGACATTGATTAAAATATCTCAGAAACTAAAAATCGAGCCTGAATATTGAAGTGAGAAAATTGTTCAGCATTTCATTCTCTCTGTAATAGGTTATAATTCAAAACTGTATATTGAGGCAAACCGTTTTAGGGATGTGAAAAGAAAAAAGTAGTGTCGAAAACCAAATGATGACGAGTTTTATGGAAAATATGGATTAAAATATCTCAGAAACTAAAAATCGGACCTACCTATTATAAGCGAGGGAAATGTTTAGCATTTCACCCTA